CTGTTAGATTTACGCCAGTACTTCTGAGAGTCAAGTTACCACACTTGCTTCCCTGTAAGTGTGAACACAGTTCTTACCTAATATTTACTGTAGTGAAACTGCTTCCAAGCCTTGTTGCATTACAACTAGGGCCGTCATTTGAATAAAAAACATTTTATTGAATGAATAACATTACATGGAGATTAACGACTCAATTAATGAACATCTCGAACATGAGCGCAGCATGAAGTCAAAAGTAGCTGAACTTTGAAAAATGCTTCTCCAGAGCCCTGTTTTTAGAACGATATTTAGAGAGAGAGAGAGAGAGAGAGAGAGAGAGAGAGAGAGAGACATGACAGGGTTCGTTGTCTACAAATTTGGGCAGGTTTTATTAATAGAAAGCATTCCATTGCTAATATAATATTTTCATTTAGGCATTTTCTCTGCATCTATTCCAAAATGTCCCGTATCTTAATCAAGTCCACGATTGAATAATGCCAAAGATGTCGCCAGTACGTCCAACTGATATCAGCTGACTGAGCTGAGAAGCCACATGAGTGATTGAAATATAAGAGCAGAAACCAGATGTTTAGTAAAGGCCTAATATCATCTGTTTTATAGGTTTATGTATGCTTTTTTTTGTCTGGAGGCGATACATCAGAACTTCACTGGATTATGTGTTTACGTGCATGAAAAGGAAAGTTGAATGGCACGCTATACTTACACACAGACACACACACACACACACACACACGTCGATTAGTCGTTGGCTCCGCATGTGATCTGCCTTGCATGTATGGATGTTTCAGAGTCTAGAAGGAGTTTCTTGACAAATATTTTTTGGTGTAAGTTACTTCCTCATGACATAATGCCTATAAAATGAAAGGATATTCACAATTGTGTTATAAAGAAACATCAAAAGTGGCGCCTAAAACTGAACTCGTTCCATGGAATTTTCAGATGCAAATAAGAGATTTGTAATTGACTGAGGGTGACTTTGAAAATTGCTTGTGTTTTACTTTAGTCAAGCGTGGCCTCAGACAGCACTGCAGTAGGGATTCCCATAGGCATTTAAAACAAATGTTGTTGCATGAAATGGAATGAGAACTGGCAGAGCTGTAATTTCATTTGGCACAACTGAAATGTCATGGCGATGTCGGTCTTTCTGTTGACTGATACTTTGACGCAACTGTTCTACGTCAAAGAAAAAAGAAGGCTCTTAAGTAAGTGAGCTAAATATTGTGGTGCCGAGGAGTCCAGATCCTCTAGTGACCAGTGTCTAAACTCTTGTTAGTTATCAAACGCTTTAAAGTCACAGTTTGTTTTCAACGTTTTTCCCTACTAGTTCTCATTTCTAGACTTTTCTTAGTGTCAAAGGAAAAGTTCACCCAATAATTTTACAATTCTGTCATTATTTACTCACCCTCATGTCATAAGAAACCTGTGACTTATAGTATAAAAGAAGATACTTATGAAGAACTTTGGGGCCCAAAAAAAGAAGAAAAAAAGACAATTTTCAATAGAAGCAATGAAAAGTAATACAGGTTTGGATGGAACAATATGATGTTGAGTAAATAATGACATAATTACCCGTGTTGTATTTATTTTTTATTATATATAATAATATTACATACATTATTATTATATATACATTTATATATATATATATATATATATATATACACACACACAGGTAAAATTATATGATCAATAAGTTATGACAACATATGTTCGATAGCGGCCTTAAGCTCATCCAGAGTGTTGGGTCTTGCGTCTCTCAACTTTCTCTTCACAATATCCCACAGATTCTCTATGGGGTTCAGGTCAGGAGAGTTGGCAGGCCAATTGAGCACAGTAATACCATGGTCAGTAAACCATTTACCAGTGGTTTTGGCACTGTGAGCAGGTGCCAGGTCGTGCTGAAAAAGGAAATCTTCATCTCCATAAAGCTTTTCAGCAGATGGAAGCATGAAGTGCTCCAAAATCTCCTGATAGCCAGCTGCATTGACCCTGCCCTTGATAAAACACAGTGCACCAACACCAGCAGCTGACATGGCACCCCAGACCATCACTGACTGTGGGTACTTGACACTGGACTTCAGGCATTTTGGCATTTCCTTCTCCCCAGTCTTCCTCCAGACTCTGGCACCTTGATTTCCGAATGACATGCAAAATTTGCTTGCATCCGAAAAAAGTACTTTGGACCACTGAGCAACAGTCCTTCTGCCGCTGTTTCTGGTTCAAAAGTGGCTTGACCTGGGGAATGCGGCACCTGTAGCCCATTTCCTGCACACGCCTGTGCACGGTGGCTCTGGATGTTTCTACTCCAGACTCAGTCCACTGCTTCCGCAGGTCCCCCAAGGTCTGGAATCGGTCCTTCTCCACAATCTTCCTCAGGGTCCGGTCACCTCTTCTCGCTGTGCAGCGTTTTTTGCCACACTTTTTCCTTCCCACAGACTTCCCACTGAGGTGCCTTGATACAGCACTCTGGGAACAGCCTTTTTGTTCAGAAATTTCTTTCTGTCTTACCCTCTTGCTTGAGGGTGTCAACGATGGCCTTCTGGACAGCAGTCAGGTCGGCAGTCTTACCCATGATTGCGGTTTTGAGTAATGAAACAGGCTGGGAGTTTTTAAAAGCCTCAGGAATCTTTTGCAGGTGTTTAGAGTTAATTAGTTGATTCAGATGATTAGGTTAATAGCTCGTTTAGAGACCCTTTTCATGATATGCTAATTTTTTGAGACAGGAATTTTGGGTTTTCATGAGCTGTATGCCAAAATCATCAGTATTAAAACAATAAAAGACCTGAAATATTTCAGTTGGTGTGCAATGAATCTAAAATATATGAAAGTTAAATTTTTATCATTACATTATGGAAAATAATGAACTTTATCACAATATGCTAATTTTTTGAGAAGGACCTGTATATATATATATATATATATAATTTTGCTTTGAATAAGGCCATGTGAAAGCATGTTTCATATTTCATATTTTCTCAGTGTCTTAGTTTCCAACATAAATACATTTAAACAAATTAAAAACAAAATAAAATGAATAGGAATACAAGTCAACAAGATATTTATTTGGTTACACATGTAAACATGAACGGCATTGTCCATTTCAAGCAAGACGAACACAAATGAATGTATTTATTCATCGACCTGCTTGTCTTTGATCTAAAGATTCAGCTTTCAGCTTGAAAGGACTTGTTGCTTTTGTCTATTTTTAGCACACCGTCATTTACATGCACAAGTGTGCAAAACACAGTACTGAAGATAGCGTCACATTTGCATTTGAGGAACATTTAATTTTCGGTAGAGGTAGCATAAAATAATCTTGCTGAAATTATAATATATATATAATTATGTATATATATATATACAGTGTATTTTCACATCTGAATATCATGTGACAATATAATTTATGGATACAACAATGTCCTCAAAATCACAAGTCTAATATAAAATAAATCTAAAAATAGATTTGAATGGCTATAATTATTTAAGTATTATTCAGGATCAAACATCTAAATTGTGTTATACAAGTGTTTATTGCCAACAAAGCTGGCATGCGATGACAAATGTGTTATACCATGAAAGGAGTGCAATTATTGTCATGACAACGGCAGCGTTTATGGCAACGGTACCTCTGAGCTTCAGTCCAGGGTACAGCAAATCCACCGCAGCCCTAAGGTGACATGTTATTTGATCCACTACAAACAGCGAGTGCATCCAGATTCCACTGAAGCAAATGAGGTTTATTTGATTCATTATGAGTATTATAAACTTTTTGAAACCTAAATCTTAGGGTGGGACTTGTACGTCACAGAAAAGTGATGTACAGCCATCATGCTCAAGAACTCGAAACCGAAGGGTTTACAATTGTAAATGTGAGTTACTTATTTAAAAAAGTAACTTCTATATTATGATTTAAATGTACCAATGTGTTATTATATACATATATATATCGTTGCTGTCAGGCAGAAACCATTTTTTTTTCTTATTAATCATTACTATTGGTTATCCTTTACTGTACACGTCTGTGGGATTTGCAAATATTTATCCAATGAAAAGTATTAAAAAGAACTTGAAACTGTCAGTTAAACCTCATAACTCCTCCCTGCCTCAAACTTGAATGAAGTGGCGTTCACATTTTGGACCATCTCTGCTTGTTTGCAATGTAAGGGTAAATAAAGAACTGTTTTTTTTTCTTTACTCAAGAAATACCATATATATATATATATATGTATATTATATATATATATTTTTTTTTATGTATTTGAGAAAGGGAAGAGTGTATAAGCGTTTGACAAGCGTTTATTTTAGCCCAGACGCAGTCGACGCAAGGTGACAAAACAGTCGGCTTTTGTCGCCGCTAGTTCTTTGACAAACTTGTGTCGACCTGTAGTCTAGCATTTCTCATTGAGTCATAGCCAATAGTGTCAGTCTGTTCGAAGCACTTTATCTTTTGTAACATGAGTTTTTCGCCAAATGACAGAAAAAAAAAAAACAGAGCGGCCATCCACATAGTTACAATAAACTGTAAGTTGATGAAAACGTAATGCCTCAGATGCGGCCATTCTAATGCCAGACAAAACACATGTCCGAAATTCAAAAATCTTTTAACTCCATTTGTGCTTGATTTTGGTAAATGTAAATAACATAAATGACACATGAAAGTGTCTGACCATATATAAAGCCACATATATTATATATATTTTTTCCATTTCCTGAAAACTAGCCGTTTTGGACATACAAGGTTACTTTCCACCTGACATCGACAGTATATTATAATGAAAATTGGACAATTTTTGATTTTTGAATTTCAGACATGTGTTTTGGAGCTTTTGAGGAACTTTCATGTAATTTAAAAATCCAAAAATAGCTAAAAATGTTGTATGAGTCCCATGAAAAATTGGAGCAAGTCTGTGGTTAGGGTGAACTCTTATTCTAATGAGCTTAACGTTGGAGCCGGGCTTGAATTTTGCTCACCTCTTGCCTGGAATGTGCAATTCAAAAACCAAGCCTCACCACAGAAAACTACAGTGCTACAGATGCGTTCCCAGTTCCTGCGACTCAAGTGATGGGAGAAATGGGAGGTAGTGGAGCAATTTGAACCTCTGAATAAAGTTCGTGCAGAAAGGCAGATTGTAACAGGAAAGATCGGTCATGTGTATTTTAGACCTTACATCAACCTTCCTCCAGCTCTTTATTCCTCTTTCTTCTTCTGTTCCTAAGGAAAAAGACATTTTTTTTTTATCAATTATATTAACAATACTTTGACACAAGTAGAAGAAAAAGCAGATATTTAATTATTTTCATAATGCAAACATTCATTTAAATAGATTTCAGTCATGTTATATGCCAATTAGATCTGGACTCTTAGAAAGTTTTTTATTGGCATCTGGTTCCACTAAGAACCTTTAAAGGCCTGTTCACACCAAGGACAATACCTATAAGGTTAACAATAAAGATATAGTTTTAAAAATCATTCTAATGTAAAATAATAGCAGAGTCCACACCACAACTATAACGACAATGTCACAGAGGAACAATTTTGTTGGATACACTTTCATAATTTTTTTTTTTCATTAACAGTCAATACGCATCTTAAAGAGCTTGAGCATTTAAAGAGTGCAAAAGAATGCTATTGGTGTGAACACTAATATAGTTATCGTTCTTGGTGTGAACGGGCCTTAACATCCATCGAATCTTTCCATTGCACAAAAAGTTCTTTATAGTGGAAAAAGATTTTGTAGATTACTAAAATGTTCTTTACAATAAAAAAAGGGTTCTTTTAAGAACTGTTAATTGAAACGGTCTCTGGGAAACCAAAAATGGTTCTTTATGACATCACTGCAAAAATGACCTTTTGGAGTCATTTTTGCAGTGACGTCATAGAAGAACCAATTTTGGTTTCCCAGAGACCGTTTCAATTAACAGTGAGTTCCATATGGCTTCCGAAAGAGTTGAAACAAGCCCGTACAAAGGTGCAACAGGCCCGCTAGCTAAATCTTTTGACCACAGCATATTTACATGCCCAACAGTTATGCTTTTTTACGACTTACCTGGTATTGTGTTGTCCAAAACAAACCCAAAGAATCCACCAATGAACATGTGGGTGGTGAAGAGAATCATAATGAGCTGATCCAACTCTTTTATGCCTGTTGACAGATAAAAACCACTCAGGTCACAAAGAACTGGGCGGACAGTGACAGATGCCCAATGCATGTACAGGTCCTTCTAAAAAAATTAGCATATTGTGATAAAGTTAATTATTTTCCATAATGTAATGATAAAAATTAAACTTTCATATATTTTAGATTCATTGCACACCAACTGAAATATTTCAGGTCTTTTATTGTTTTAATACTGATGATTTTGGCATACAGCTCATGAAAACCCAAAATTCCTGTCTCAAAAAATTAGCATATTTCATCCGACCAATAAAAAAAAAAGTGTTTTTAATACAAAAAAAAGTCAACCTTCAAATAATTATGTTCAGTTATGCACTCAATAGTAGGGTTGGGTATCGGTTGGGTTTTATCCGATTCCAGTACCTACTCGGTATTTTTTAAACGGTTCCGGTGCTTAAACGGTTCTTAAATCGGTACTTAAGAAAATGAAATCGCACACACTTTATCAAAAAATAATACCCTTTAATTTACAGGGCCAAACTGGACACAATATTAACTTAAATCTTTAAACAATATAAATACAAGTAACATATGGTAATAATAAAACCAATATAAAATAAAAATTCATATTTACATAATATCAAATGAAACAATATTGTATCAAACAATGTAATAATACTGGAGATTAATAGAGATTACTAGCAGGCAGAGCTGCCAACTCTTGCATTGAACGTGAGACTCACGCAAATGACCCTTTTCACACAGAAAAATCGCGGACAAAGAGGACACTGACACCGACAGACAAGACAGAGAAGGTTACTTTTGATATGGAACAAATCCACAGCTGTCAGATTCTGTCAATATTTTTACGAGATTCACACAATAAATAACGTTTTGGCTCTTTGAAATGTGACAGATCGCTGTAGCGCGTCAGTTCAAACGGCACGTGATACAGCAGCCTACAAATCCACTGCTTCTTAGCTACGCAGCGTTGAGTGAACCTATGAAAGAGAACATCTCTGGTTACTGGTGTAACATATCTCTCAATAGGGAACGGGACGCTGCCAAGCTCCTCGCGCTGCCGACCAGCTTCCTTTTTCGGCAGAGAAATCTGAGGAGCAGATGGCGCGCGCGCGCCAACATAATATGACGACGTAAGTGCTCAATGCGGCGCCAGCGCCATCAGCCAATGAATTGGCTTGATTCTATATGGGATTCAGACTATCGGCACACCCAGAGGACGTTCTGACACGTAATTTTACACGTGAAATGCAGCCAAACCTTGCGAGAAAGAGCGCGCATGCGAGACAGAAGAAACTGTGCTCCAAACTGTGTAGCACACGCACGGTGGAGAGGGAGAGAGCGAGAGACCTTGTGTGTGTTTGTGCGTGTGTGCCTAATGAAGTTAGGCACCGAAATCAGGCACCGAAATTTTCGTTCTTATTCGGTCTGGTTACTACCGTTTACGTCGGAACCGGTTCCCTATTGGCACCGAGTTTCGGTACCCAACCCTACTCAATAGTCAATACTTGGTCGGGAATCCTTTTGCAGAAATGACTGCTTCAATGCGGCGTGGCATGGAGGCAATCAGCCTGTGGCACTGCTGAGGTGTTATGGAGGCCCAGGATGCTTCGATAGCGGCCTTAAGCTCATCCAGAGTGTTGGGTCTTGCGTCTCTCAACTTTCTCTTCACAATATCCCACAGATTCTCTATGGGGTTCAGGTCAGAAGAGTTGGCAGGGTAATTGAGCACAGTAATACCATGGTCAGTAAACCATTTACCAGTGGTTTTGGCACTGTGAGCAGGTGCCAGGTCGTGCTGAAAAATGAAATCTTCATCTCCATAAAGCTTTTCAGCAGATGGAAGCATGAAGTGCTCCAAAATCTCCTGATAGCTAGCTGCATTGACCCTGCCCTTGATAAAACACAGTGCACCAACACCAGCAGCTGACATGGCACCCCAGACCATCACTGACTGTGGGTACTTGACACTGGACTTCAGGCATTTTGGCATTTCCTTCTCCCCAGTCTTCCTCCAGACTCTGGCACCTTGATTTCCGAATGACATGCAAAACTGAGCAACAGTCCAGAGCTGCTTCTCTGTAGCCCAGGTCAGGCGCTTCTGCCGCTGTTTCTGGTACAAAAGTGGCTTGACCTGGGGAATGCGGCACCTGTAGCCCATTTCCTGCACACGCCTGTGCACGGTGGCTCTGGATGTTTCTACTCCAGACTCAGTCCACTGCTTCCGCAGGTCCCCCAAGGTCTGGAATCGGTCCTTCTCCACAATCTTCCTCAGGGTCCGGTCACCTCTTCTCGCTGTGCAGCGTTTTTTCCCACACTTTTTCCTTCCCACAGACTTCCCACTGAGGTGCCTTGATACAGCACTCTGGGAACAGCCTATTTGTTCAGAAATTTCTTTCTGTCTTACCCTCTTGCTTGAGCGTGTCAATGATGGCCTTCTGGACAGCAGTCAGGTCGGCAGTCTTACCCATGATTGCGGTTTTGAGTAATGAAACAGGCTGGGAGTTTTTAAAAGCCTCAGGAATCTTTTGCAGGTGTTTAGAGTTAATTAGTTGATTCAGATGATTAGGTCAATAGCTTGTTTAGAGACCCTTTTCATGATATGCTATTTTTTTGAGACAGGAATTTTGGGTTTTCATGAGCTGTATGCCAAAATCATCAGTATTAAAACAATAAAAGACCTGAAATATTTCAGTTGGTGTGCAATGAATCTAAAATATATGAAAGTTTAATTTTTATCATTACATTATGGAAAATAATGAACTTTATCACAATATGCAATTTTTTTGAGAAGGACCTGTATGTATATATATATATATATATATATATATATATATAAATACATGCAAGTCAACGGGTGGGCGTAAAAACTCTTGGTATAAGATATCTTATTATTATGTCTTAATAGGGTAAATATTCTAGGACCAATTAACATCCAACACAGCAAGCGTTGGTCAGGAGTTCAATGTGTCAGCTTAAAATACTAATTCCTGAAAACGAATCAAGAAACTGCTTAAAAGAGCCCCTGATGAAGCACTATAAGACTTATGTTGATGAACCCCCCAAATTTTAAGCAGTGTTAACCCAACACTCAGGACAAAGTTTAGAATAAAGTACAAAGTTCATCGAAAGGTTGCACTGGCCCAAATGTCTAAGGGGGAACGCTGGTTTTCACGTGAAAGGTTTGCGCTGAAGCGAAGGGAGGAGATTACAGCAGAGTCAAACGGAGACTTGTAAAGAGGATTGGCAGATAAGTCGCCCTAACCTCAGAAGTCCAGACAATGCTTCTCACCACTGCGGATAAGCTGGGGATGTGCCACTTGCACTGAGTGACCCGCCACATAGCTGTAGTTATGACTCTCAAATGAGATCTCAAAGAACTACTGTTTCTTGCCCTGTTCAGTTGCTGAAGCAATATTTGCATCTAATGCGTAGCAAAGGAGTTCAGACTGGAATTGTTTTTTTAATGTATTAGTTTTTTTTTTGTTAAGGTCAGATGTGTGTATCAGACCATGCAATGCTCAGAGAAACTGCACAAAAAAATACCCAAAAAAACCAGAGCTACATCTCAGACTCTATAGGCCTCAGTTAACATATTAAATGTTAAAGTTCATGACAGTACAATTAGAAAAAGGGTGAACAAGTATGGCTTATTTGGAAGGGTTGGCCTCTCCTCTCTAAAAAGAACATGGCAGCATGGCTTAGGTTTGCAAAGTTGCATCTGAAAAAACCTCAAGACTTCTGAAACAATGTCCTTTGGACAGACAAAACAATGTCCTTTGGCCAAACATCTCCACAGAAGTGGAGATGTTTGGCCATAATGCACAGCGCCACATTTGGCAAAAACCAAACACAGCATATCAGCACAAACCCCTCATACCAACTGTCAACCACAGTGGTGGAGGGGTGATGATTTGGGCTTGTTTTGCAGCCACAGGACCTGGGCACCATGTAGTCATTGAATCAACCATAAACTCTCTGTACACCACAGTATTCTACAGTCAAATGTGAGGCCATCTGTCCGACAGCTAAAGCTTGGCAGAAATTGGGTCATTCAAAAGGACAATGATCCCAAGGACACCAGCAAATCTACAACAGAATGGCTAAAAAAAGAAGAGAATGAAGGTGTTGCAATTGCCAAGTCAAAGTCCAGAACTCAACCCGATTGAAATGCTAACCGACCTAAAGAGAGCTGTGCATAAACATATGCCCACAAACTTCAATGAACTGAAGCAACACTGTAAAGAAGAGCGGGCCAAAATTCCTCCAGAATGATTTGAGAGACTGATTAAAAAAAAAAGTAAAAAGATTACTTTAAATTATTGTTAAGTGTCACACATGGCTTCTCCATTTTGGCTTTATTTTAGTTAAATAAATAATGACATTGTGTAAAATGTCACTTGTTGTTGTTCATCTGAGGTTGTATTTACCTAATTTTAAGACCTGCTAAAGATCAGATGATTTTTGGTTATGTTCTGATGCGCAAAACCATATAATTCAAAAGGGTGTACTGTCTTTTTCACATGACTGTATACATACATACACAACACACATACATGCATTTTATATATATATATATATATATATATATATATATATATATATATATATATACAATTTAGTTTATATTTTGGCAAAATGCAGTAGGTATGGCTCAACTATACTCAGTTTCAGAGAAAACTTATTGAACAATTATATCAAACCCATCAAGATTCAACAAAACAAAATTAAACTTAATTTTGTGTGAATGCTTCCTGAAACCATAACAGAAGTCATCAGGTTATGCGCCTATAGTGTTGTGAGATTGGGTTAACTTCACGTGCAAACGCTTGTCTGCTGTCCAGGTTTCGTTTCTTTTGATCTGGCCACACTACAAGGTATCCATCTGTTCAAGTATTATATTACCAACAGTCTTTCTAAAACAGACCAGTCGGATATCACCAGCACAGATGCTGAATACTACAGAAGACCCAACAGATTTATTTTTGAAGAATGGTGAGCCTTATGAGAGAAGCAAAACTGTTCTTATCCCTTTGCCTCAGTGTAGTAGTGTTGTCAAAGTTACCGGTACTTTGGTACAAAGTGGATACTGAAATTGAAAAAATGTGACGATACCAGTCTCTCTTAATTAGATACCCGCTGATAGGCGGCTGCATTCAAACTGACTATTCATGTTTGCATTCTGAAGAGAGTACAAAACATAACGTTTACAACTTGTGTATTTACAGCGTTGAGCATTGTAGTCAATCACAGAAAACTCTGTGCAGAGGTGGACAGTAACGAAGTACATTTACTTGAGTACTGTACTTAAGTACACTTTTTCAGTATCTGTACTTTATTTAAGTATTATTTTTTCTGGAAACTTTTTACTTTAACTTCACAACATTTGAAAGACAAATGTCATCCTTTTTACACTACTTTTCTGTCAAAGTCCATGAGTAGAAAGTAGTTATGTTAGTCAGGGCATGATTTTTTCCGTCTCTAAAACGTGATTGTTTTTTTGCAGGTGACAGACAGCCTATCAGTAATCACTCCTGTAGGGTCACGTGTCATGAAGTTTGACGATTAGTACGATTTCTCTTTACTAGTGATCTAGAGACAGTATCGTTGTCAAGTAATGGTTTGAAAGTTTTGTTTTCATGGCAAATATGTATTTCTGTTGTGCTGTTTGTTAAAGCAGTATTGCTGTTGGGCAGTTATAAAGTTATGGTTGTATAGCTAGGGATTTTGTATTTACAGACCACTTGATTCAAATGTGCATGAATGGATACAGATAGATGTGTATTTTTGTTGGGGTGGTAGGAGTGTAAAAAAAAAGAAAAAAAAAGAAAGATGATTATGGCAGTCTTTTTTATCAATTCAGTAGTTTAATTTCTATAGGTTGTGTGACATTCTAAAAGCTCCACACTACAAAACTACAAACTGGTCAGTGTATTCACTAGGTTGCTTCAGAGGCATAAGGTCCTGTAATAATGCAACAATAATATAACAATGCATTGATATTTATTTTGTACTTTTGATAGTCAAGTACTTCTGTATTTTTACTTGTAACGGAGTAATATTTGATCAGTAGTTGTGTACTTTGTCCACCTTGAGCAGGATGAATGCAGTGACCAATCAGAGGTGATTCATTTAGTCAGAAGTTTTCTTTCAGCCTGAGCTCACTGAGTTTTAATGAAGAATCCTTTTATGTGTAAACATGATGTAAATAAGAGATTGATTGTGCTTCTTTGATTATAATGGGATTTTCGCAAGAGTGCAGAACCGAGACTGAAGTCATTGACAGCTTCAATGATTAAAGAGAGAGCACTTTGCAAGCTTTTTGTATTGGCTATATGCCATTCGCTATTTCAATAAATGTTGTGCTTTTCATGCTACCAACACACTACACAGTGTACAGTTTCAGGAGTGACAACCGAGAGTGAATCTGCTAAATTATTGTTTTGTTAAGTCACCTGGAAATTGAAATGATTGACAGTGATAATTAAAGCAATAGACGGAAGGAAAAAATGATATGTAATGTGTTTTTTTAACTGACTTTTCACTTGGTCTTTTTAAAGGATTTTAAAGGCCCAATAATTGGTGTTACGCCCCTGGGTAGAAGTATTATACTCCAGTAAAATATGTTTGCTAATGGGTTAAATGCTGCATACGTTAGGTGATGCTGATGTTATTTTGTATATGTTTCAATGTTATATTCACCTGTGTTGATCATGCCTGGATTCGAATGAAACCAGGTTGGGAGCACAAGACCACTGAAGGTCGAGAAGCCAAGAATTAGGAGATTCCTGGAGGAGTTCAAGTCCACATACTGCGAGGAAAGAAATGAAATACAAAAGAAACAAACTCTTAGTATGTATTTTATTAGATGAAGTCGCCCTGACATACAATTTTATAACAATGAAATGAAAATGTATGACAACTCTCTATCAAGTATACCTGCAGATTGGAAATGCCCACTGCTGCTACCATGCCAAACATGATGAGGAACATTCCACCAATGACCGGGTCTGGAATAGTTATAAAGACTGCACTGAATTTACCAAAGAGTCCCAAGATGATCATAAGAAGCCCAGCGGTCTGAAGTACCAATCTGCTGCCAACCTGGCACACAATGTAGGGATCAGCCATCAAAAATATAAATCATCCAAAATACTGCCATGAAACCCAAACCAAACAAACCAAAAAATATTTATGAACATGCAGGAATGCAATAATTGTCTTTCCCATGAAACAGAGATACATTATATTAAGAAAAATGGCCTGATAACATTTAAACACCACTTAGCAAAAAACGAGATAAAATCTTTAAAATAAGACCTTTTTTATTTAGCATTGCCCTGAAGAAGCTGCACAGCAGATGTTTAAGCATTCCTCAAAAAATGACATTAATCTCATGTCATGTGTTGCCTCCTCGAGCATCAATGATGGCTTGCAGCTGTTGGTGATAGATGTGGATGAGACCCTCGATTATCCTGAGAGGGGAAGACCTTAAATGTGCAGAGGATGCTCACAAACCAAAATAATTTACAGGAAGTGCAGGATGTTTGAGAACAGTGGGCACCTTTATTACTCAAAACTCATGCACAGGAACGATCATAAAAGGCCACAAATAGCCATTGATGCTCGGGAAGTCAACACTAAATATTTAGTACCAAAATAACCTGAAATTCTTGCTTTTGTGGGGTTGGGGATGTCACGGTGTGGTGTAGGCTGAAGAAGGCGAAGAGGCAAAAAGCTCCAATACAAACTTTTACTATTAACATAATTCCAATGGGTACAGACAGGCAGGATTCTCAGTCTAAATAAGACTGAGAATGGCTAAAGACTGGCTGAACTGAAAGGACCTAAATACAAACACTGATGAACACAATTAACAGAAACCAGGTGACACAGATGATGATGATGATCTAACACAGGTGACACAGATGATGATTAACTAGACACAGGTGACACAGATGATGATGATGATCTAACACAGGTGACACAGATGATGATTAACTAGACACACGTGGAACAGATGATGAACTAAATGACAGTAACCATAGAAACAGATGAGTGGCGGGAAAACAGAACAAAGGAAGACATGTGACTAGTGGGTGACTGTGACAGGGGATTATATGTATATCTGTGTACTGCATATTCTTTTATTGAATTAAATTTATTTATTTCCTGCTCTAACTTCTCTTTAAAAGTGAAACATTATTATTTTAGTTATTTTATGTTCTGGAATCAGTAATGACAAGTTATGAAAAGCTTAATCACCAAAATATCAGTAATGACAAGTTATGAAAAGCTTAATCACCCAAACAAACTTTTTTTAATGCATGTGCAGACTGTCCAAGATGTATGTAAACTTATGAACAGAAATATATGTAAATATTTGTTACTTAAAAAAACATGCAGCATGGCCTCGTACAGTATTTCTGGTGATATTATTATTAAGAACATATACAAATGGCAATATTAATATTAAGAAGATATCAAACTTCATCTGAAATTAGTTTAATTTTGAAGTAGGCCTACATTAAAGTTTTATGTTTAAAGCATGTCATTCTCACATTTTTTATTCTCAAATATAGTGTACTTTACTATGTGTATCCAACTTTATCCGCATACATACAGTAAACACGTAAAGCGATATTTACTATATAGCAAGTCTCAACTGCATGGTTGTTTATATAGAGCTGTGCGATAATAGTTTACATTTTGATATGATATAAAGCTTAATCCAAATTTATTCTCATACATACAGTACACTTGAATAAAGTGATCTATAGAATATAGCAAATCTGCTTGATTGTTTATATTTTCACAAAATGTTTATTATAAGTTCACCCAGCTCTTATCTGTTGAATTCCTATATAAAGCATGAAGATATTAAAATCGTATAAACAATAACATAATGATTTTCTGTAAAGCTGCTTCGAGATAATGTGTATTGTGAAAAGCGCTATATAAAATTAAAATCGAGTATGGATTACTAATGTGTGACTTCAAGAAGCCTAGTCAATGTTTTAGCTGAATAGTAATATAAAAGTGTTGAAATATAATGAAGAACTTGCTTTGGTGTTGGTGGCCACAACAATAAAGATAGTTCTAGTTATTATTATTATTGTTGTCCTAATTGTTGTCAATAAACAGAGAAATCCTACCCTTGTAATTCCCAGAGCGGCGATATTCTGACTGTAGGAGGTGGTTCCATTACCACTACCCCACAGGGCAGCCAAGATGCAGCCCACGCCTTCCACCGCAATGCCGCGGTTAATAGCATGCGTGGGAGGTGGAGGCGCACCAGAGAGCCGGGCGCACGCATAATAGTCTCCAATGGACTCCATTGTTGAGGCGAGCACTCCAGCCATCATGCCCAGTACAGACGACACGCTCACAGTGGGTAAACCCCACTGTCCTATAAAAGAGTTAATAGATGAGGAAATGCTCGTTACGGACAATAAGAAGTTTCTTAGTGTACTTTATGATGCAAAAAATAAAAGGAATATGTAAGGGAGAGTTTTACATTGGAATATTGAGAGTAAAACATAATTATAGTATGGTTGGAAGCATAAAAGGATTATGAGGTTACTAGGAAAACCATTTCTTCTAACCGTTTAAGGTGGAGAAACTTAACCAAAAGAAACCTTTGTGTTGTTGTGTTTTCATTTTGTCTATTGACACAAGGAAGCAAAGTTTGAATGGTTTGTTATGGTGTCATGAAGGTATGTTTGCTTTAACTCCCATTCAAATTTGTATCAGATTTTCAGCCAAATAAATACTCAAAATACCATTTCAATCAGACTTTCTGAGTAATACGTAAGCATAGTTTTCTCAATGACTCAACTAATGCATTTAGGCATGCAGACATGGTCAAGATGATCTGCTGAAGTTCAGGCTCAAAATGGGGAGGAAAGGTGACTAAGATTTAAGTGACTATGAACGTGGCATGGTTGTTGGTGACAGATGGGCTGGTCTGAGTATTTCACACACAACCATCTCTAGGGTTTACAGAGAATGGCCTGAGGTCAGAGGAGAATGGCCAGACTGGTTTGAACAGATAGAAAGGAAACAGTTACTCAAATAACCCCTTGTTACAACCGAGGTGTGCAAACAAACATTTCTAAACGCACAACGCGTTGAACTATGAAGCAGATGGGCTACAGCAGCAGAAGACACACCGGGTGACACTCCAGTCAGCTAAGAACAGGAAACTGAGTTAACAATTTACACAGGCTCACCAAAATTGGACGATAGAAGATCAGAAAACCGTTGCCTGGTCTGATGAGTCTCGATTTCTGCTGTTACATTCAGATCGTAGGGTCAGAATTTGGTGTAAACACACTTTGTATTTGGCACACTTTGGGCCCCTTAGTACCAATTGAGCATCACTTAAACACCAAAGCCTACCTGAGTATTGTTGCTGACCATGTCCATCCCTTTATGACTGCAGTGTGCCCATCTTCTCATGGCTACTTTCGGCAGGATAATGTACCATATCACAAAGCTCTCTCTCTCTCTCTTCCTCTCTCTCTCTCTCTCTCTCTCTCTCTCTCTCTCTCTCTCTCTCTCTCTCTCTCTCTCTCTCTCTCTCTCTCTCTCTCTCTCTCTCTCTCTCTCTCCTCTCTCTCTCTCTCTCTCTCTCTCTCTCTCTCTCTCTCCTCTCTCTCTCTCTCTCTCTCTCTCTCTCTCTCCTCTCTCTCTCTCTCTCTCTCTATATATATATATATATATATATATATAAAATATACACAGCTTTATATAAAGCAAAAAGGATAATACACACAGTAGTAGAATATACATAGTAGAAACACACTTTGTTAAAAAAAAATACACACAGTAATATGAGGCCCATGTTTAGTTATTCTTGTATATCAGCCCGGAGCACATATGTCTCAAGGGATTTATGTGGGTCAAGTGAAATGACTGATTGTCCTCACTAACATTCAGACACTGATGCAGTCTAACCTGTATTAGCTATTTGATGTTTAAAATACCACATTCCCGAACATGTAAGCCCCTGGGTGATAGGCTTTATCTAACGATGGAAACCTTAAAGCTGTTTCAAATACATATATGTGCTAGCTGATTCATAGCAGAGGACCGATTGGTGTTGAATGCATTTCTTAATACAACAGAACGTCTGAAAAGACCTGAGTGGGTAGCACGCTGAAACGAGCGAGGGCTCAAAAGCCTGACTGTCATAGACAATAATACACCACACCTTTATGAGTGAGAATTGTACCTAGCAAAGAAAACTATGGTTCCCGGGACTGACAGTTCCTAAATGTTCTTCAGGATGAATTAGAGGAACCCCATTCATGTCACTTTATCTCCAATGCCCTCAGACCATATGTATCTCTCATATCTGGATTCTGAAAGAAACACTACCATTCAAGATAGCTCTTTCTTTTTTAACAGACATGTCTTAAAAACAGCACTGGGAACCAGCTTTGTCAGTACTGTTGAAATAGCTAACATTCATGTTCATTGACTATGAAAATCAATTTATATATTATTCAGAACCGTCAGATGGTTGACAAAATGTTTGTTTAATGAGTTCCAGGGAAACCATGTATCTTTGCATCAAACCATTCATTGACGTTTTGCTATCATGAATTGTTATTTTAATTCATGACTAGATTAATTGATTATTTCTTCTGGAATTTTCACAGTTAAGCAAGAGATAACAAATGTTGTGTTTTTAAACTATGGTTTTTTTTTGGCCCTGTGAACTTTTAGGAAATAAATCCTATTAAAACACAACTTTTTCTGAAATTTAATTTTTCCACCACATCCCAAATTATGTTTTGTCTGCAGCATTCTGTGATGGGAATGACATTCTAAACTGTTTGTTTTTGCGCACAAAAAGTATTCTCGTCGCTTGATAAACTTAAGATTGAGCCACTGTAGTCACTTGGACTATTTTAACGATGTCTTTAATAACTTTCCGAGGCCGGCAAGTTCAATCCCTGAAGAAGCCTATGGACTAGTATGGAGGAGTGATCCAGCTCTCAGATTTCATCAAAAATATCTTAATTCGTGTTCCGAAGATGAACGAAGGTCTTACGGGGTTGGAACAACATGAGGGCGAGTAATTACTGACAGAATTTTCATTTTTGGGTGAACTAACCCTTTAATTAAACAATTTAATAATCAAGTATAAAGGAATTTATCCTTGTATGATATTATGCTGTACCCACATTGGACCAGCGGTTTGGAAAATTGGATGGATAGATGATTCAGCTGCGGGCGCCACCTTCTGGCCAGACGCCGGAATTGATTCAGCGTGACCCGCCAAAATGAGTTATGGGTATTCTCTAGCTCAGTATTTTCCAACCCTGTTCCTGGAGGTACACCAACCTACATATTTTCCAACTGTTCCTAATCAATCACACCTAAATCAACTCATCAGCTCGTTGGTAGAGACCGACTCCAAGACCAGAAATATATGGGTCAGATAAGTAAGACATCCAAAATGTGCACTGTTGGTGTGCCTCCAGGAGCAGGGTTGGGAAACACTGCTCTAGCTGTTCACGTACATTGGTTGTTCACTCTTTATTGCGGTGCATTCTGGGATTGAATGAGTGCACTCGATAACGTCTACTATGGTTTCGGACACCAGTAAAAATGGCTGTCCCCTTAAATAGTGCCCTATTTAAGGAAATGGGGCAATTTCAGACACATTAATAGCCACACAAATGTGGTTCAGGCAATGTGTACATTGATCATCTTCACATTGCTTCATAAGCGAAAATTATTTAAAAAAACTGCAGGGTTGCAAATAAAAGCTCATGTTATTTGCTGTATAGCTGTTTGATGGTGGCTCACCTGGATAAGGCACATAAAACCATGCAGCACTTTTTACTGCATTGAGATTGATGTCAGTTCTGGCCATGTATCCGTACTCATTCGGGGATGAGGGCAGGGCATTGAAATATGTCAGCAGGAAACACACCAGCCAGGCTCCACACATCCCAAATAAAGCCTGTTCATTAAATACAACATGCATAAACATATGGCTTTCTACGTCTCCTTGTCATGGACTTCTCAATGTACACTTTCTTGTTTTTGAACTTTTAAAGGCTGGATTTATTATCTCACTCATGTCAATTAATGTCAGACTAGCAATGCTAGGAATCTTTTTGTAATCCGTATCTGTAGCATGTAAAATGTGACAAGGGGAGCATTAGCCCTGGGGTATTTCTTGATTTTTGCCAAGAGTAAAGCTTGAAACTATTATTTTATATTTGAACTCATCCCACAACAGACTGAGCGGTATTTTAGACGTAGTTACTTCAAAACCACCATGTGACAGATTACATCTAATATCTTATCTGTTATCAATAGTGGCTTTCGCAACGGAGGAACCTTTTCATAATTCCTAGAACTATTGGGGGAAGTACCTGGTTTTTGTCGTGTTCGCACGCGAAACGATTTTAGTTCTAGGAACTCCTTTTAGAGGGACTAATTTAGCTCCTATACGTCAGGGTCTAATGGTGCGTTCAAGTCCTCCTGGGAAGTTCGTACTTACGAGGTGGGAAGTTGTGTTTATGACGACATGTGCGTTCAAGTCACTTTCGTGGGAGTACGATGGCGGTGTACTTTCTCTTAATTAATTACACAAAAATAGAGCAAGTTTATTAAACTAGTTCTAGAAAATGAAGAACAAAGAAATGTGCATCGGTTTTTTATGTTTTTAATTAATTTATGAAGCCACTGCAAACTTTATCGTTACATATTACATTGTTATATTATAATGCTTCTTAGCACCGTCAAAATTAAGGTCTGCCGCGCCGTCAAAATAAAAGTCACAAAACCAAGCACGGCTTCGTCACTTCAGAGTTCCAACTGGCGGTGTGAATGCAACCAGGAAAGTGGTTGGACTAAAAATCTGCACTATTTCTAGGTCACTAATTTAATTGAAGGATTCAAAAACGTGGTTCACCAGGCACAAACTTGTGGAGTTCATGCCAGTTTGTCACTAAAGCAAAATGAGGACATACCCAATATCAAGAAATTAAACTTTTCACTCAAATTGTTGTTATGCTATTATACATTTGTAATGACAATTTAAACAGCAATGCAGAAACAGTTTCTCTACTGGCCTCAGACCTTCGGATCCCACGGTATAGCTATACCTACATAATTATATTATACAGACATAATTATAATTATATAAAATACACTCACAGAAAAGAGTTTGAAGAGAGGGTACTGGAAGACTTTCCACTTCTTGTCCTTATAAGCAATGAGAGGAAGGTTAACTTTGCTCAAATACTGGGAGAATAGAAGGATCAGGCAAACAGTTCTGTAGAAAGATGACAAGATATCAGCGTTAGAATGATAGTAGCTCATATGCACAGATCTAATTTACAAATAATAAAAATCTCTGTCTCTGTTTCCGTATAAAATAACATCTTATAAAAACATAATTATTCTACAATTATTCTAGTTGTTTTAATCCAATATTTTTATCTGTTTTGTAGGTCCAGCAAAGCAAAATTAAATTCTTTCCAAGTATCTGCCACGTGCAAACCCTGATTGGACTGCTTTAAACGTATAATCTTCTCTTCAAGAATAAAATGTCAATAATCTATTTTTAACTAAACCATAATTTGAATGTGCATACGATTCAGGTTTTTTACTCTAATTCAATTGGTTCACTTTAACAACAAAGGTTGCCATATTGTATATGCTGTAGGTAAGGTTTAAGATTAAGACTAGTGAGGATCAGATTAAGGACTGGACGAGAATGAGGAAGAGGATTATGAATAAGGATTGGATTTAATTTGATACTGAATTAAAAATCCTCATAAATAGCATCTGTTTTGATTTTTTTTTTTAAGTAGCTGACAACAACGAACTTCAAATAAAAGTATATCAGCAAAAACACACACAAATCAACATGTTATTTGTCCAAACAAACAAACAAACAAAAAAACAAACAGGCATCTTTTGTCTTGTACACTAATAAATGCTGCCACAACCTAAATCTTATTTACAGGGCTTAAGATGAGATGGTCACTATGTGACCTAATGGGTTTCACACACATATGTGCCTTAAACCTTTGTTTACTCTGAGGCACCTGGACAGGGAGGGTCTGAGGGGCGAGACGCTCAAACCGATGGCAGGATTAATGTATTCTCTTAGGGATGCTTGGGGATGAGTAATGAACAGCGTTTTTTTCATCAAAGGATCTGAGCGATGTTTTATCATTTAAATGAAAACATTGAAGAGGGTTGATCTGTACAGATAAATACTGAACCCTGAGGGTGGTTTGTTTTTAAAGGGGCCTTGCATTGTGAGAGCCACACGAAAGCCATACACAATTAGAAATACAGATTAGTGACTCGGCTCTCGAAGTTACACATAATTCTGCAGTAACTCACAGAGCAGCAATTCCCCAGTGAGCTCCTGACTTCTGTCCAGCCTGGATGAATAGCGACAGTCCGATGAGGTTGATGGTGGGAGCAATGGCCAGCGGCCCGATGAACCTCAGCACTAGCCCCACGAGACCCGACAGGCCCAGGACAAGCTGAAGCATTGAGGCCACAAGAATAGCACCTTGGATCTACGGAATGTGAAAAAAATGTTCAGAATGTTCAGAGAAAATATATGAAAATTGTCAATATTTATTCATGAAACAAGGTGCGTTCATTGAGGTTTGGTTTTCCCTGTCTGTCTGCCTGCCTGTCTGTGTTCCTACTTATTTTCTTAGGTTGTTAATTAGCTGTGCACATGTAACTTGATTTCTCTGTCTTTAATTTAAGTATTTAATTCCTTAGTTGCCTGAGTTCTGTGTTTCGCGTCATTAAAGTTTTGTTGTGAGTTACACCCTGGTTATCTCCTGCCCGTTCAATTTATTCTATTCAATTCTTTTAAAATATGTTTTGCATTCAAGCAATTCTTACATACATCACAAACTGGTTTCTCTTCCCATCACGATAAATATGACTGAGCGAATCTTGAGTGACGAGTACGATATCTCATATAAACGACCTTGTCATTTTCAAAATGATAACAATAATTAACTCCCTGATTTAGTAGTTGGCTCACCTCATATAAATTGTTCCCTTTCAGTCGTTCACGTTCGACATAGTCGACGTGTCGACTGATTGGGATCACGCTTAGAGAGACCGTCATCTTCGAGTACTATTAAAACGAGCCAATGAAATTGGCGTGCGTGAAATGCATCACACACTCCGCCCCCGCGCCGCGGGTATAAATACGGAAGTGGATGCACGCACTAGATGTCTTTCACTTCGGAACCGATCGTCTTTGATGTCTCTGAAGAGTGCTGTTGTTTACAACGAGCTAGTGTGTCGGTGTTCTTCTGGAAAACTCTCCCAGTGCTGGTGGTTCTACAGCGCGAGTGCAGCGGTGATCGCGAGCTTTGATCTCTCAACTGCTGTTTACAGCTACAAATTTCTAAAGGTTTGTGTGTGTTGACGGCTGGTTAGAGGGCAGAAAAGTGAGTGCTTCACTGTTTCAGTTCTCTGTTCAGTGTTGCCGCGGTCATTCCCCTGTGTGCTCCGGCACTGGTTACGGGTCCTATTTCCTGAAAGAGCAACACGGGTGCTTTGCGTCTTTTTCACAAAAAAAAAAAATAAATACATTTTTTTTGTTGAAAATATGTCATTCCACCTGTGTGTTTATGGATGCGGTCGTTCCCTTTTCCTCTCTGACGGTCACAATTGTTGCATCACGTGTTTGGGCTTCCAGCACGCTGAAGCAGCTTTTGTGGGCAGTACATGTTCCCATTAAGGGAATATGACTGTCGTGGTGTTGAGATCGAGACTCGCCTTCGTCCGCGAAGCGCGAGTCCCCATTACCATGCCCCACCCCCGGTTGCTGTGTGGGATGGGTGAACGGAGGATAGTGATGGAGATCTCGCCCGGTAACCATTCCCTGTGGGCTCCTCACTCCTCCATCACACTGTAGCAGATGGAATTCCTGTTGAACGTACTGGTCCCTCTGTAATGGACCGATCAGCCGTTTAAATTGGGGTTCCCCCAGAGGATAAGATGTCGATAGCAGCACCGGAGGGTGAGCTGACCTCTGGAGATGACGACTCGGCTGTGTTTTCTCCCTCTGGGAGTTTAACATTGCCCGAGCCAGATCCAGAAAGGTCAGCTATGCTGAAACGGGCCACCGAGGCTGCCGGGCTCGAGTGGAACCCTCCACCGTGTCCCGTCCAGTCTTGGTATCTTGGGGCGGGCTGCGCTGGTTTTCAGCTCGCCGCCCCAGTGCCTTTCTTTCCCGAAGTGCATGGAGAGCTTACCAGGTTGTGGATGGCACCTTTCTCTGCCAGAAACTGCCTGAATAGCTTTTTCCCCTCACTACCCTTGATGGAGGAGCGGTGAAGGGTTGCGAGGTTATCCCTGCAGTGGAGCGTCTGTCGCGACATAGGTGCACCTGTGTCCGGCGGCCGCTACCTTTTGGGGGGATCCTCGTCTCCCCCCTAAGGCCTGTGGGTTCTCGTTCGTTCTGACGGGCAGAACTTACGGAGCCTGTGGGCAAGCCGCCTCCTCTTGCGTGCCATGGCGCTGCTACAGGTCTGTCAGGCCAGGGCACCCATGGACATCCACGAGGGTAGCCAAGACCGTGCGGTCATAGGTGAACATCGCACTGCATTTGACCTCGCCCTCCGGGCACGAGTGTCGTGGCATGCGCGATCGGTCTGGCGGTGTCCACCTTAGTGGTCCAGGAGCGCCATGGTTGGCTCAGCCTGGTTGATATGGCGGATGCGGACAAGGTTCGGTTCCTGGTCTCCCCAATTTCCCAGGTTGGGCTGGTCGGCGACACGGCGGAGAACTATGTCCAACAGTTCTCTGCCGCCCAAGTGCAGACGGGGGCCATCCGGCACATCCTGCCCCGGCGGCCCGCTGCTGCCTCCACCCCGCCGCCGGTGGCAGTTCCTCCGCCTGCTCGTCGCCGAGGGCGTTCCCCTGCCGGCGCTCTCACTGGGCCTCCGCAGCAGCCTCCAGCCAGGCCTCAGCATGGAGCCGGCCGTAGCAGGGACGCCCAGCCCGCTCCAGGCGCTGCCAAGCCAGGTGGCAAGCCACAGCGAAAGCATTCCGGAGCGGGCCGCTCAGGGATGGAGGATGCTGCTCTGGGAGTTCGTCAACAATCCACTCCCTCCCCCCGGGAATGCAGCAGAAATGCGTTCCCCAGTGAGCCTTCTAAGAAAGCGGCTATGCGATTCATTATCGCTTGGCGCTGTTCAAGTTCAGTGATGTTCATCACACTCAGGTGTTGAGCAGAAATGCTCCTGAAGCTCAGTGAATTATCACGTCTAGTGTTGAGCAGTGCTCCTGTCTTGTGTGTGCATGTCGCTTGCACCTACTGTGCTAAGTCAGGAGTGGAACAGGTCTTGATAGTTGCCCCTTTTTGGCCCAACCAGATCTAGTTCCCTCGACAGCCTTCCTGACTTCCCCTGAATACATTCAGGGACGGGGCATGATGGCACCCGCGTTCAAGAACTGGACGGGGAGGTTCAGGTCGCTATCACAAGGTTATGTGGTAGTGACCATCACTTCTGCAAGCACCCCCTTAAGATAAGGCAGTTGTGCTTCGCTAGTTAGAAGTGGAACCTATTCGTTGAATGAGTCTTCTCTCCGTGAGGAGATCCTGAGAGCGTTCGGTCATTTCAGTGCTCTCTTTCCTGCAAGTTGGGTTGGAGTAGGCTGTTCCTTCACCCTCAATATGATGCAAACATCATATGCAGAAGTATGGGAAGCACGTCTTGATCGTCAGGTTCCTGAGGGAGCAAGGGTCATCCCTGCGCCCCTCTTTATCCTCTTGGGCCTGTCTCTGGTGCTATTGCAATCAGAGACCGCCCCTGAGCCACTGCAGGCAGTGAGTTAAAAATTCTGTTTTTTACAGTTCTCCTGCTCGCATGGTCTCTTCTAGAGGGTAGGGACTTGCTCGCTTTCGGTCAACGAATTGTGCTTGGAATTCGGGCCGGCTAACTCTTACTAGCTGAGACCCCGGCCTGGATATGTGCCCAAGGTTCCTACCTCTCCCTTAAAAGGACCAGGTGGTGAGCCTGCAAGCGCTGCCTGGAGGAGGCAGACCCAGCCCTGGCTTTCTCTGTCCGTCCGATTCATTGCGGGGTTACGTGCACAGAACGCAAGCCATAGGACCTCAGTTCAGCTCTTATCTGTTAAGGAAATCAGCAGAGAGGGAAGGCTGTTTCCAAGCGAGTTTGGCTCAAATGCCTTCATCTTGGTGAAAGTCCTTAGATGCTCATGTCCACTTAGGTGGTGAGCTCCTCTTTAATGAGTGTGTGCTCCCGCTTAGGCGTTGACACAGAGTGCTTCGCTGACAGATATTCTAGAGTTGAGGGCTGGGCGACACCTTAGTCGAACCTCTGCTTCCCATGGGCTCCCTTCACTTGAAGCCAGTTTCACTGTAAGCCCGGTTCGTTGTGTCGGCTTGCTGCGCCATTCCCCTCCTATGGACTGGATACGTGCGCAATTCTTGCTCCAGTTGAGTTCCCCTTTTTAGCCGAACCCTGTCGAGTTCCTCCATACCCTTCGGCAACGGACATGGCGGAATGTCTGAAGCTAGGCCTATCACTCGTATGCACTGGTGGAACCTGTGTTAGGCTGGGTCAATATGCTGTGATCCCTACGGCGATCCCATATGTGTATTCTTCCACGGTACGGCTCCCTGCGGCGAGCCCGTGTCTTCCCTTGGCAGAGCCTGCTCTGCCGTCACTGTTCGGTTGAGTCTCCCCCTGTTAGGCTGGAGCCACCCCAGTGACATTCCATATGTTGTACTGCCCGGTCATCCGCTCAGTTCATATGTGTATTCTCCACGTTACCTCCCTTCCGGCAGGATGTGGCTTCCGCAGCGTCCCTTCCTTCCATGTTCAGGGAACGCTTTCCCATTGGTCCTGTAGGAACAGCAGTGACTTCCCTGGCCTAGCCCTGTCCTTTCCCCACCTATTGCGGGGGGATCTGGAGGCTTTTGTCTAGGCGCTGGAAGGTGGCAGCACTAGATGGCGTTTTTATTGGGATCCCAATCAGTCGACACGTCGACTACGTCGAACGTGAACGACTGAAAGGGAACGTCTCGGTTACGTATGTAACCCTCGTTCCCTGAAGGAGGGAACAGAGACGTAGTCCTGTAGCCACTATTGCTGGACCACCGCTGACTCCGAGTTACGCTCGGCTCCTCAGCGAAAAACATCTAGTGCGTGCATCCACTTCCGTATTTATACCCGCGGCGCGGGGGCGGAGTGTGTGATGCATTTCACGCACGCCAATTTCATTGGCTCGTTTTAATAGTACTCGAAGATGACGGTCTCTCTAAGCGTGATCCCAATCAGTCGACACGTCGACTACGTCTCCGTTCCCTCCTTCAGGGAACGAGGGTTACATACGTAACCGAGACGTTATATACATTCATTCCATTCCATTCTCCATTTATTGTAAATGTACAGATTTTAATTACCCTATACAACTGTATAACTTTAAAGCCTCCCGATAATTTACAAAGAACATCAATATATTTTTGCAATACTTAAGACTAACCTTAAAGCTTAAAAATGCCTTTGATTGAAAATATCTGGTCATTCAGATGTTAGATACTACAGATTTTCCTTTTGTAACCTCCTTTAGACAAAAGCTGCTATTCACATCTGAGACTTTACAAGGTCAAATTATTACAGTAACAAAAAATTCTCTAATTTTACAGACAACATGATCTCATTAGTAATCATAAGTACAGGTATAAGAGCATTCTTACATTTTTGTACATTACTGATAATTACAATTTCCATGACAGCTTTGAAATCAAACCTTTTTACATTTGAAAATCTTTAGAGGCATTTAATATAAATGAAATCAAACTCGTTTAATGATATTTAATTTAACACATATACAACGATTTTACTCTACTGCGTATACATATCAACAATGTTTTCTTATATTTCATTCTTGTGGAGCTTTTGCCATTTAAAATGTCTTTAAAAGTTTAATGAGAGTATCACTACGAGGATTGAATTCGCTCACAAAGATTCCAAGGATTTCAGTTTGGATGAGGTTTCGTAAAGATTTGTGAGTCTCCAAAACTCACTAAAATGTATGTGCTTACTTTCCACATAGTGGACCATTATCGTCCATATGTCATCATTTCTTTTGCTGTTGACACACATTTCCTTTTGACACATGACTCGCAGCTAAGAACAGACACACTTGTTTCAAATTATGCAATTAGGTTAAGGTTTGAAATAATATGTCCTACAGTACCTCACGGATGCGGACCTTCCACACCTCGTCGCTATCCACGAGGGGGGTGGCTGCAGAATCTGTGGTGTTCGGTTGAGCGGTAGCACTCATGTCTGGGCATCTCCACTTGGGGAGGGCGAGGATAGCCAAGGTCGGGGTGATGAAGGTGAACGTCCCCCCTTGGAGGATCGGCAACCTGGGAAGTCATAAAGAACGTTTATATTGCTCTGAGGCTATTTTATAGATTATGTCAGTTAAATCATAAAAACATTGGCAGGAGTCATACAAAACATTGATATATTCCTTTCACTGAATTATGGAGTTCATAAAAAATCATTGAATGCAAAGGTCCCAGCTTAAAATACGAGAGCCAGACTGATTTTAATGTACTTATATTGCAATTCTGTCATTATTTATTCACTCTCATGTCATTCCAAACTTCTTTCTTCTGTGGAACATCACTACAGATGTTTTTTTCAGTCAGTGTTCAATGTTGTTGATTTTCATTGTATGGACAAAACCAGTACTCTTATGTTTTGTACTAATATGACTATAGACTCTTAACTCTTTCCCCGCCATTGACAGAACTTTCTGGCAATGCATGTTTTCACTATTATGCATTAAGGGGGCACTATTACACATATTTTGATATAGTACAGTATCTCTGGATCAAAACACAGGGGAAGAAGCAGAAACAACAAGGATCGAAGCATTGCCTATGCACATGTAAAATTACACACTGTTGATGGATGAGATCTGCTGGATCTATGTTTTGTTCATTGTTCTGAATCTAATTTGGATGTAGTCTTTGACAAAAACATGATTTTCTCAGCTTTTTGTTCAAAATGTCACTTTTTTTTTAATGAAATTTACCCACATTCAATTGTGGGTAAATTATTATTATTTTCTTAGTGCAAAGAAGATTGTAATAATTAAAGAAACTTTTTCCACAATAAAGAACCTTTTTGTGCATTGCAAAGATTCCATGGATGTTAAAGGGATTGTTCACCCACAAATGAAAATTGTATTGATGAAATCTGAGAGCTTTCTGTCCCTCCATTGGCAGCTATGCAACTACCACTGTGATGTTTCAAAAAGTTAATAAAGAGATCGTAAAACTAATCCATAAAAATTGAGCAGTTTTGTCCAAATTTTCTGAAGAGACTCGATCGCTTTATATGTGGAACAGATTGAATTTAGGCTTTTATTCACATATAAACCTTGCAAACATAAACAGAAGTTCAAGCGAACTTGCTTGACGAGCGAGAACAAACCTCTTGCGGAAGCTCAAACGTGCTGCGTAACAAGAGAATGAACCTCATTGGTTCTTGTGGACCTCAAACGTGATGCGTAACACATGAGAATAATAAACCTCATTGGTTCTTTAGGAAGCTCAAACGTGATGCGTGACATGAGAATGAATCTCATTGGTTCTTGAGGAAGCTCAAACGCGATGCGTAACACATGAGAATGAATCTCATTGGTTCTTGAGGAAGCTCAAACGCGATGCGTAACACATGAGAATGAATCTCATTGGTTCTTGAGGAAGCTCAAACGCGATGCGTAACACATGAGAATGAACCTCATTGGTTCTTGCAAGTCAAGTGAACATGCTTGAGCTTCCATTTACCACAACTGATGTGTGAGTTGATGTGTAGGGCTGAGCAAATATGGGCAGAATTCTTTACTGCCCTAGTACTTCAAAAAGCCTTTTAAAGGTATACATGTGAATTAAACGTGGCACAATGGCCTTCATCATCACAGTATGCTAATGTCTATCTAGTGCAAGGGATTTCATCAATATACTGATTGAGGACTGTTGGGACACTCCAGGCACAGGATGGTTCTGTCGGGAGAGACAGAGTAATTTGCACCTCAATGACACGTCTTTACCATTTGCTTCACGGGACATATGCTTTCAACTACTGTTTATTTACTAGTGTATTCTAATATGTAACTATGCCATGTTTGGTCTCATCTGACAGCTTATAAACTGAAATTAATGGTGGTGAACTTAATAGAGATATTAAATTATCCTAATGTACAATCTAGGTACTATTGGTTAAACATGCATTGAGGAGAATATGTTAATGTTCTACTCCTCCTCTTGATCACTACCCATTTGCCTCATCTTTTGGTTTCCTGTCGGTCGGTTTCGGTGTTGGTATTCCACTCATGTTTACCAATGCTTTGCTCAGGGTATAAGAAGGAAAGGTAACTGTTGATCTGGGACAAAGGCTTTAACCCCGTCACTCCCGCACACCGGTGTGTAACCTCATACTACAAGGCTTTTACGGCCTTGTTTGCACAACAATGCATTATTTATTACAACTAAGTTTTCTATACAGTATGTTGTTCCATTCTACTGTCTGTATATTTAAACGTAACTTACAGCTGCTGTAGGTAACTTTTGAAAAAATGTACTTGCTAAAACTGTCATTATGTCCTGACAGTAGAATATGAGACAGATAATCTGTGTAAAAATCAAGCTCCTCTGGCTCCTCCCAGTGGTCCTATTGCCATTTGCAAGAAATACACGCTCCTGGTCAGAAACAACCAATCAGAGCCAGGAGGAATGTCTTAGCAGTGTCAATCACGCTCGTGTACGCGCTGATCACACCCCTCTCTTGCACAGCACGAGCCGTCGTTCAAACTCAAGATTGCCGGCGAGCTGCAGCTGTGCTTATGACGGAGAAACAACCTAAACTGCCAATTCTCGAGTGACACCTGCTCATTAAACAAAGAGGTAAAAGGAAAAAGACTGATGACGATAAACAAGCGAAAAAGAAAGAATTACACAGAGCCCATTGACTCGGTGTCAAAACTCTAGCCGCATAACATGTAGATAAAATGTCACGCACTCTGCTAAGCAACAATTGAAACCTGCTAATTCACTGGCTTGTCATGTTGCTGAAATAATGTACTAGCACACCTTATCTAGCATTATATATCGCTAGAATAATTACTTACATACTGTAACGTTAGTTACCGTTATATTAACGTTATCTTACTAGCTATTTATAACTTATAGAAAGAGTGCAACGTTATAAAGTTACATGTAGGCTATTGCAAAATACATAATGATTTGAGGACCAAGTTTGTAGTCAAAGTATGGGCAGGCCATAGTCAATGTAAAGCATATTATTGACGTTTAGTCCCTATTAGTGAATGTGCAATATAACTTTTTATTCGCTGTTATCGGTGGCCCTGTTTACTAGCCTGCGCGTTCACGACAGGCTCCGTTGTGGAGGACGAGCTGTGGAGGGAGGGCTGTAGCGCAGCAGAGAGCAAGGGGGTGGGACCTGTAAGTTGTGCTTGTTCAAATTTTCAGGCTAAGTCAACGTTTTCTCAAAACTCCCTACTGCAGCTTTAATAAGTAATTTTGCCTGCTTTAGAGGCTTTGAGAATCTTTCCTTTTATCACTGATTATGTTGAAAGCTAAAGTGATTATAACTTTCGTTATCTAAACGTTCAGGTTAAATCCTACGTTTTCCTATCAGTTCTAAGAAAGACCTTTACCTTTAAAGAATAAGAGGTTAAAGAATAACAACAACTTTAATGGAGTCAGATTAATTATATTGGAGTCAGATAAATATTTGAATTATACACGTCATCCTTCAGCTGCCATTTGTTCCGATTATTGGTTCAAAATAGCAGCGTAAGCTTCCAGCCTTACAGATGAATGAATGTTTATTTGTGAAGAAGCCTGTTTATCATATAAAGCGATTGTGTCTCTACAGACACTGGAGTAAACCGCTCGATTCATATGGATAAGTTTTACGATCTCTTTATGGTTTTGTAACGACATAAGGGTGAGTAAATGATGACAGAACTTGCAATCTTTATGGAACCTTTAACATCCGTGAAATTTTTAAGAGTGAAAGCATTTTTTTCAGGCAGTGTATATAACTTCAGATATTGAGGAATGTTGATCCTCGTACCTGGTCCCGAAGGTGGTCTGTAGCAAGGTGCACAGGCCCGAGACGAAGAAGATGGTAGAGATGAGTTGACTTTTTGCAGCGTTGTTCTCTTTGATGCACAACGGCTCAGCCAGGATGAGAGGAATTGCCAGGATGCCACCAAATGCCAGTATGTAATGCTGTGTGACGCAAGAAATGGGTATGAAGAGCTACCATGGATGACACCGGGCTTAGGTTCATCGCAAACAACTTGTTATGCGGGACGAGACACAATCGAAGACAGATGATCACAAAAAATGTAGCAAATCTTAACTCCGGCCTGACTAAGCCAGGGAGACGTGCGAGAAATGGAAGACAGATGTTGGCCTATCTGTTGTGAATTGATAGCACCTCTTTACTCTCACCAGTAAGCTTCATAAATTTGTCAGGCTCAGAAAAAATTAAACTTGCCAGAATGCTCAGCAGCTTTGACAGGAGATTATGGTGCGGATACAGAGATGGTGCACGGAAGACTATTTACACAGCAGGTGAGGTATGGAAATGAGAAGTTTTGATGCTTTATGTTATCCACACTTAAATTCCTGTTGTTTTATTGTTTTTCGGCTATTCTAGTTTATGCTAGTCAAGTAGAGCAGAGCGGGTAAAACAGTTTAAAATTGAATTTAAAATTTCATAACCCAAGAGGGACGTGCTGCATTAGCGTAAAAACACCGGTAATGAAAGCAGAAACGGCTGGGGGCTAGGGAGTCTGCACTGACATGAAATACCAGGTCTCTCCCTGCCTTTTCCTCCCCTCCATGACACCGGAGAGATGAAAGTGAGCATGCTGGAGGAGTGAGACTTCTTCTTTGTACTCCTCTTTACGCTCAGCACATCATCTTACCTCACATGTCAATGCGAGTCCCCCGTGTACCTTGCTGCCCTTTCTCTCCCCCACTCAGTTGCCTTTGATCTCCATGTGTCATCAGGACGAGTAAGTGGAATGCTTTGGCTCATATTCCCCTCACCTTAAACATCAGATGCATATAATAAGGAATAACACGGTCAAGAGTGGCAGGGAAGCCTTAAGGCGTTTAGGCTGACGATGATGATTAGCAGCGTCAAAGCAACCAGAAATCATTCGTTTTTAATGAGAATTGGCGGTTTGAAATGAAAGAGATAATTTACAAAATTGGAAACTGTGAACTCCTGTTCACACCAAGAATGATATCCACAATTCTTTTTTTTTTAAAGCTGTTGCTGTTCGGCAAAATTTCGCTGGCAAAATCCAGGCATTTCATTAGGAATCGGCACAATCTGGAGTTTTGTGTGACGGTGAAAAAGTCCCCCTCGCAGATTTAGCTCGTTGTCAAGTTGGTTGCACAAATTCGCTGCTTTGATCAACAAAAGCTGCTTGGTTTTAAACTCATTTCTGTGTGACCTACACTATTGACAATAGATAATGGACAATGTTTTGCTAATGTGACCGTACCTTAAGAAATTAGCCAACTGCCAAACAAATGCCAACAATATGTATAACAGCACAGAGGAAAGATATCATTTGAATCACTTTCAGACCGATTTCTTTTTCAGTTAATGAACTAAAGCTGTAGTGCACGCTTAAAAAAAAATAACGTTATCGTCCACTAGTGCGAACGGACACTATTGTAGTTAGCATTATAGTTGTTGTAATAGTTTTTGTTCTTGGCTGGAATGAACCTTAAAGCGATAGTTCACACAAAAATTTAAATTCATCATCTGTCATCATTTTCTCATGTCATGTCATTCCAAACCTGTATGACTTTCTTCTGCAGAACACAAAAGAAGATATTTTGAAGAATGTTGGTTAAAAAAACAGTTTGGTATAGCATTGACATCTTGTAAAATATTTTTATGAACTATCCCTTTAAGCTATGGAAGCAAATTGCAAAGTGTAACTGAAATATACCCCAAAAGATTCATACTAAAATCTAATCAAATTAATCGAATTAAGAGCTTGTGAACTGCAAAATCGGATCATAAAATATATATCTATTCCCACCCCTATAGCAGGAAAAGCTACTAGAAAGTAACAGTTACACAGCAAATCATTTTAGAGTCAACAAGACTTTACACCGTGTCTAAACTGTGTGATGTGTGATGCATGCAACAAAAAAATAAATTGAGAATTTGAACATTCCTATTTTAAGCACCTAAGCACTGCAAACTAGCTAGGTGACTAGCGGACTTGCAGTGTAGACTGGTACCATTCACATACTTTCCGTCATAAATAGTATTCGAAATTAAAATTAGTATGTCCCAAATCATGGCATGTTGAAGTGAGTATTCCAAAGATACCCAGAGGGTCTTACTATTTTCGTTAGAATACTGGTTAGTGTAGATCCATGCACACTCAATAGGTAATATAGCCCACAACCCATTGGGCGTTAGACGAGGATTCGATTAGAACTACAAACACACAATAAAAAATAAAAAATACAAACATGCCAGGTATGAGCAACCGACAACAATTAAGTAGAGAGGTTTAGATAAAGGGGTTTGAATGATTAAAAATCAGTATCTAACCAGACAAAAAAAAGTTTATTCAATCTTATCCACATTATATTTAATCTGCAACAACATGATACGTAAAATAAGCGGATCTGTGAAATATCAGATATTCAGTGCAACATTCCTGGGTTTTAAGGAGTCAACCTTATCTTTAGTCACTCTGCTCATGCCCTTCAAGGCAACTCTACCATCCAGATGTTTACACACCTTTTTCTTGGCATGCAATGAGGAGAACTCTAGCCTCAAGCTCAGTTTAACCCTAAAAAAAGGCCATTAAAGGTCAGTTGTTTAAATCAGGAGAGACCTGTTCGCTTGAGAAAAGATGTGTGCAGAGGTCTTTACGTGTGGTGGGGGTTAGGCCGCCTTTCTCGAAAGGCTAACTAGAGATTTGTAGCATGTTGTGTCTCACCTGGAAACCCAGAAGAATGCAGAGGTACCAGGGCGGGCGATCATTGATGGAGTAGATAAGGTTGCCATCGGGCCTTGGGTCCAGGCCCTCTTCCAAACTGTCAGCACGGGGTTCAGTGATAACGTTCTTCTCAGGGTCATTGCTGCCATCTGAAATCTGAAGGTAGTGGGGATTATTTACAGCATATTCAAGGAGACTCACCATTGAGGTTAATTAAGAGAGCAAAGGGCAGTAACCACTGAATCCTTTCGAGAAACAAGATAATGGAGACCTTTAAATGTTCAGAGAAAAGCTCTGTTCCAAAACCTAGGGAGCTGCTTTATTCTCTACATAGGAAGCAGCATCTTAACAGTTATGGAACCTCATAAGTGACCATTTTGGCAAACTATAAAGCAGGATTTCAGTATAGATGACATGAGGGAAATTACACACTTTAGGTCCCTTTAGGGGCTCCTTACTATTGAAGCATTAATGACCTTTTTGTAAATTATGCATCTTTATTTTCTTATTTAATTCTAATGTATATAATTTAATCAAATTCAATTCCTAAAATATTTTCAGTATTGAAAGAAAAAATATCTTGCTCTGCCCAGCATTACAGTGTTGCCAAGTCTGCGGTTTTCCTACGGAATTGGGCTACTTTCACAATGTTGCGGCCGGTTGTTTTTTTTTAGTCCGCAGGCTGATTTGCCAAGTGGATGTGAACATGATAGGTCAACATTATCCTGCTAACATTGTAATCAGCCAATGACAGTGACGAGGACGCACTGCCTCCTCTCATGTGACTTTTCACTAGTTTTTTGCAATAACCCCCTTAACCGAGGCAAAAGAGATACTACATCCCTCTGAAACTTTATCCATTAGCTTTATTTTAGAAAATTCTTCTTCTTAAATTATGTCATACTAGTTCTTTTGAGGAGGCTCTGTCTTCTGTGCCTCCTAGAAGAAAACACCATGGTTCATTTTCAGAGGAACACACTACCAGACATTAATGCATTCCTGTCTCATCATCTATGTTATCCATAACTCTCCTTCCAAATACTTACTTTCTCGTGTGACTCATTCAAGTCAATGAGTTTCCCAATCACCCCTTTTCCTTTCGCTTCATGCTCATTGAGAAGTTCATTCAGATGAGCATGCATGCAGCCAAATAATGGGCCTTTTAAACAGTGTTTGTTCTGTGGTTGATCTGCAGTTAAGAAAAACCAGGCCAGAGCACCTCACGGGGGATACAGCAAACAAGTGACTTTATTTAACTCGATTCGGTCCAGCGCATATGCATGTATGAATGATTTTAAAGAGTTTGCTCTTTTCTTTTCATAAGCTACATATCCTCAGGTCAATTTCAATACATAGCATTTCTTTAAAATGAATGAATAATGATTCATCCGTGCGTGAACGAAAAAGTCATTATGAGGTAGTGAGATTGATGATGTCTTAAAGGAATAGTTCACAAAAAATGAAACTTCTGTCATCATTTACTCAGCTCATGTCGTTCCAAACCTGTCGGACTTTCTTTGTTCTGTAGAACACAAAAGAACAATTTTGCCAGAATGACAGTGTCAGTCACCATTCTCTGTTACTGAATGGGGGGAAAAGATGCAACAACAGTAAATGGTGACTGATGATGTCTAAATAACAATCTTTTTGTGTTTTCCATGGAAGACATATGGATTTAAAACAACAAAAGATGACAGATTAATTTTCAGCTTTGAGTGAACTAACAGACAGACAGACAGATGATAGATAGACTGACAGACAGATAAACTGATAGACAGACTGATAGACTGACTGACTAACAGGTAGATAGATAAACAGACAGTTGTACTGACAGTCATTGAAACTGTAGCTAGCCAGTCAAACAGATTAACAAATAAACAGACTAGGCAGGCTATAGGTAACCAGACAGAATGTCTTAACAATAAATAAAAAGAAATAAGAGCTAGCTAACCAGCCACTCAGACAGTCACTTTTTTAATAGATTTTTTAATAGCTAAATTAATGTCATACGCGTGTCAGAATGATTTTACAGGAATGTATCAATCAGCATGTAATTTCTGCAGACATACCATACTTACATGTGATGATGACAGTTCTTGGAAAGCACCTAACTCTTGATAAGGAAATGGGTGCTCCATAAACTTTGTGTTGACAGTTGTTTTAATGTGAAGATAAACTGGGATATATGACTTCACTATATTCAATCCCATCTGGTGAAAATGAAAATACATAAATTACCACTTCCCTTTTGGTTGAGGCCCAGGGGTTGAATTTGGCATGAACGATACTAAATTTATTAAACGAATTACACATGTTTACCTGAGCAACGCCGCCGGCCTCAGGCACTCGACTGACGAGGCATTTCTGAATGGTAAGCTAGACTATAATTCCTTCTGGTTCATATCGACACCATGGGTGTTGAAAGCAAATCTCACTTACTATAAAACTCTCCAGTCTGCTTTCCCAAGAAGATTATCATTTTTTTTGCGTACTGTATGTGTGGCATTTAAATCCACTCAGCTCTTGTTTCGTACACAACCATGCTTCTGTTTCAAGTTCTGAAGCTGTTTGTACCAGCAGCCAGTCACGTCTAATAACACATCAAATCCGCCATTAAGGATATGGATACATATTTGTTAATGTTGTTCAAGGATTTGCATACAGTAAAGTTAACACATTTATCTGAGGTTTACCGTTTATCTAACAGCTGAAAAAAAAAAAAAGAAACAAACCTATACATTCACGCTTCGCTGCCGCCTCGTAGTGGTAGTTGGTGGGTATTTCATTCACATTATTAGGCCTCGGGTCTAGCAGAGCCATAGAGAGAAAGAATTGCGACCAATTACTTACGTTCTAAACCGAGTAACGCCACCTAACGTTTTGAAGCGTAATTTGCTTAGACACGAAACGGCATGCTTTTATTACACACGAAACGTCAAACTTTATACGTTATGTTATAATGATAGCCTACATTAAGGAACAGTACAATAAGCATTTTAAAACATTGATTTTGTGTAATATAATTTTATATAGTGATCCGTTTCATTGTATTATGAGAGTTACTTCCTGATCATGATGGTGAAAAATAATGCTTGAAACTTATGGGCATTTTAATGTATACCAGTTTAATTATTTTAGCTAAGAAGTTTATGTAGATTTATGAAGGTAAGACCTTTGTTTTTGTTTTTATGAAGGAGTTAACTCTGTATAAGAAAGCTTTGAAAGATATAAAAACAAGACAAGCCTTGGAGGTTTTCAAAATTATACACAATTTGATAACTGATTAGACCTCTGTGATATTTTATGTTCTATTTATTTATTTATTGTGTTTACAAAGTTTTTTAATTGTTTTGATATCGAAGGTATGTATTGTTAATATGAATTTGTAATGCCTGGTTTTGATTGTTTAATTTAAAAAAAAAAAAAAAAAAAACGTATGGGCATTTTATATAAAATATACTTTATTTCACAAGAACGTCCAGCATGCATTTTTCTTTATGTAAAATAATAATGTCAAAAATCTAAAAAAGAGAGAGAAAATTCGGCATTGTTTTAAAAGAAACAATAAATGTATGACCAATTCACCCCTAGGCCCATTTTGTCACAACAATCCTGTATAAATTTAACTTACAATGTATCAAATGAGGAACTCACTCTCAGGCCAATTTTGTCCTTACATTCTTGCAAAAATAACTACAATGCAACAATAATAATTCCGCCCCTCCCTCACTTCCGGTTCTGGCGCTGGGGTTCTGAAACTGGTGGTGCTGCGGGTCTGCAGCTGGATATATCCATAGGATATATCTCCGCCACGACGGCTGTCACGTGGTTCATGTAAGCCCCAATAGTTCCAAAACATACGCGGGCTGTCATGTTCTTCTATGGACAGACAGCAGCGATTGCATTATTAAACGGTAGATATAAAATAAAACACACATCCAAGTACTTTTTAAGCTGTTATTGCATTTTGTTAATGTCAGTTTTGCATTTGGAGAGGCAGGGTGACAACTTAGATAAGTTTTAGGCTATATTTTTGGAGGGAAAAGCTTAGTGTTTATGTTCGTATGGGTAGTAGCACTGGCTTTAGCGGCTCTAACTTAACTTTTCCATGTCATTCATCTGATGATGGATATCTCATGATATTTATTTTAGCACAACTGGGCTGTATTCCCGTGATCTTGCTTATAAATTCCGATTCAGCCATTAGCCTACATTCGTGATCACGCAAAGAGGTCTGCAGTCCGTTCAGAACTCCAACCAGGGGCGTATTTCAAAATCGAAGTTTTGTCCCCCCCACTATTTCCCAATGTAAGATTTTGTTTTGCATTGCCTGCCTATCTCTGCCGATTTCGGAGTCTCCAAATTAATCCATTCGGCAACTTTTAAATACATAATTCAATTTTAAAAAACGGCCGAATTCTTCAGCTGCTAATCTCGTTGTCAGTCGACCATGATCGCGCACCGCTCGCGCATGCGCATCTAGGTGACACGGATAAATATACGCAGCATACATAATGAGTGTTCCTGGGAGATCCTAGTTGCGCGGGATGTGGAAGCGTGCAAAAGTTCCAGAAATGTACATAAAGTGCCCTGGCCTTGAATGACAAGGTAAGGAAAATAAGACTAAATCTAAATTAATGACCAAGACTAGGTTGGCCATGTGATCTTTCTCAGGAGAAGTTTTGAGCATTTTACTTCAGACACCGGATTATCAGCAAACTGCCAAGAGAACTGCTAGCTGGCTAACTTACTCAAAATAAACTAGCAATCTATTCAGGCAGCATATTTGTTTTTGATCTGTGTGAATTACAGAAATATAAGACTTGCTACTTTTAGCTACCAAGGAACCTTTCCACAAGGATAGATTGATTTTATTTTTCAATCCTTGGGGGGTAATCTAGGTGGTTAATGGAAATTAAATCAACCATTTATTTGAGTTTTTCTTTTTTTGTTAATCAGTACATGACTGATTAACAGTAATGTAAATGCTAAATGTCCTAATACCTGTTGATACTACAACAATGCAAAGTATATGCTCTTAACCTTGCAGTTTTTCACATATCATGTAAGATTCATTTTCTCAATTTCTTTGCACAAAACTCTCCAGAAAGTGCCATTTAATGGTTTATTTTTCAAAAAAATTCCCGGGGGAGCTTACCCCCGGACCCCCCTAGGGAGAGCCCACATAATAAATCCCAATTTAATCACTGCTTAGAACCAAACTAAGTAATACAGTCTGTTCCCATAAGTCTTTAGAAATAAACATTTAAATGCCTTATATATAAAAAAATATATACAGAAATTCGGGACATCCTCCCCCCCCCCCCCATATAAGCATATAAGCATATGCATAACCCTAACCCATTTAAATAAATGAATTGTGTGTGTGTGTGTATAATATAGGCTATATATATATATCTACATAGGCCTACATATAAAATATTATTACAAATATTATATATTATACATCAGGTTAGTTAGCTAACGTTAGTGAAGTGTTGGTCACGTAAGCTATCGCTGCAATTAACCTATTATCTTCCAAACATTTACTAAAACTGGCTACATAAAATATAACTACAGACTAGATTCACGAGAGGTCGGCTAATGTGTGTAAAAGTAAAAAAATACAGTAATTTCATTAATTTACCAGCGAGCGTATTCGGAAGCACTGAAAATGAATCAGATATGATTGTTGTATAAATGTTTAATCAATGATGTAGTTGCTCATGTCATGACATGAAATTCCACATAGTGACTGATCCTTTATAAAACCCAGTTGGCCTATATCTGAAAAATATTAAAAGCTGGTTGAGGGAGGATTGTTGGTTATTGTTGGACTATGGTGTCTATTTTTTGCACTTAAGGAAGTAAGTAGGCCTAGTGTGTTTATCTAAAACAACAAGATGGTGTCCCACTGTTTCCCCCAAAGCCATTTGACCTTTCTAAATCTGTTTTCAGTCCGTAATTAAATGACTCTGGTCTTTATCAGCCTTTCCCTCCACAACATATGAAACAAATTGACAAGAGCTAAACTTATTCATATCTGCTATGCTATATTTTATAATAATGCTTTCTTTTATGAAAGAAGGAAGCGCCCAAAATAGTAGGCTATTACATCAAATTATTAGCCCACAGCCTATATATCTGTAATGAATGAATAATAAACTTAATTATTAAAGACGCATTATCAGAGAATGAATAAATAAATAAATTATATATATATATATATATATATATATATATATATATATATATATATGTTTATGCTTTACAATGTTATTTTATTTCAATAACTGTAGGATATTCTGCAATATATAGTGTCGTAATACTGATTAGGAAAGGTTTTTTTCTAGTGTGTTTATTAATTATACTTGCAAATATTTTTCTTACATCATATTGGAATCAGACTTAATTATTTAAAACTGAACTTCATATGCAGTTTCATTGCATATGACATTTTTCTGATTTTGCGGTTATGTGTGTTACTGGCCCTGAAAGCATATTAATAATACATAATGTGGTGTCAACAAGAATTTCACCTAACCATTGGCTAAATATGACCTCAACAAGCCCAGCATTCATATGGTCTCTCAAGACCACAAATGATGTCTTATTAACTTCTCAGATTACTCATGTTAGTGCTGCAGAATTCCTCTATGACAAGATGGTTATGATGATTTGAAAATGATCCTAAGAAATTTGGAATCCAGTTTGAACAGTTGCATTCTGTCACGAAACATTTTGACCTCATTATTCAAAAATCACAAATATATCACAAATAAAATCACAAATATATTAACCTCTGTTAACACATAAATAATCCACCACATGGCTCCAGAAAACAATACACACTAGTATTGTTTCACATTTGTTAACATTAACTAATAATGAACTGCACTGCTACTGCATTTATTAATCTTTGTTAATTTCAACATTTACTAATACATTATTAAGATCAAAAGTTGTATTTGTTAACATTAGTTAATGCACTGTGAACTAACATGGACAAACAATGAACAGCTGTATATTTATTAACTGGAGTTATCATAGATATATTGCTCATAGTTAATGAGTAAATATTTCAAGTTAAGTTAGTTAATACATTAACTAATGTTAACAAATGAAAACTTACTGTAAAGTGATACCCATGTAGCCCATTGACTTGCTTGTAACTAAAACGGACAAAACAAGGCTTTCTATAAAATCACATGTGATGAAGAGAAACAAGCAGCAATTGATAAAACTTGTTTTCCTCAGAATTGAGCTGTTTTTATTTAGAGCATTTTTGGCACTTACTTCAAAAGTTGAGTCTGTGGCTCCCTGGTTTCTTAACACAATGTCAAGCTTTTGGTCCTGTTGTGTGAGATGCATAGCTGACCTGTATGTTTTGGAGAGAGACACCGGCCACACTTCTGATAAGTTCAGAGAGAGAGAGAGACACTGGCCTTTGCAGTCTGCTGGTCGTCAAGGAAACCACAGCTGTGTTTTATATGCGCCTTGAACTTTTGAAGCATTTATGTAATCGGCAGCTTGACTGAGGGTTTTGGAGTCATGTGCCTGTCTGAGGACCGCTATACGGCCACTGATAGGGCCCAAGACCACACGAGTGCTCCCAGTGTTTGTGTTGATTTTAGGCAGATCAAACCAACCCTGACTGAGCATGAGGAGGACCAGGGGGTGTTCTTTTACGTCGAGTGGAACAGGAGACACGCTGACTAGAGCGGTGCAAATCAAAATCTATCCTCCAGCCTGGGAAAGACACTTTGTAAAGCAGAAACAGAAGGAATCAACCCAGTGTTTATCAAGAACCGAACAGATATTTCATGATGTTAAATTGTCAACTTACTTGAACCTCTTTTAATCTATTTTGTAGTAAAATAGAACACATGATGAATTAAAGTTCATCAAAATAGACTGTAAAATTACATTTAATGTTTGTTTTATATATGTAATGTTTGACCATATGGAAAAGAAACAGATAACCACTTAACAAGCTTTTACTATGGTTTCTCATTCTCCCATCAAAATTATTTTAAATACAATTAATAATAAAATATGTCTTAAAAACATGCCTTTAATTTTTTAGTAACATTATAGTACATTGACAGTAAAAATATAATAAAAACTGAGAATTCTCAAATCAATTACCAATATAATATAATATCAACGTGTTGTTTTGAACATATATGCTAAGGAAACTGTCATGTTTAATATTCAACTATATTATTGATCTGCCTTACTTAAGGTGGACGATCACGCAATTTTCTTCTAGAAACAAACTTTGTTGTATTATTTCATGTTATCACTATGAAGCTGCTTTGATACAATCTGTATTGTAAAAAGGTGACTTGACTTGACATACTGCTCTGCGACAAAGTTAGAGGATCCAAACGCAGTTTTATTGAACAGAGGGTAATCCAAAAAAAAAAAATGCAAGAGGTCATAAACACCAGGTAATAAGTCCAAACAATAACAGGGTCACATGCAAAAAGGAAAATCTAAGGACAGGCAGAGATCAAAACCAAGAACACGGGAATAACAGGCAGAACGCTCAGAAATTAGTACAAACAACTAACAAGACTTCGCAGGGAATGACAGAAAAAAACAGGCTTATATAGGGTGAGCAAACAAGATGATGAGACACAGGTGAAAACAATGAGTGCTGATGAGTCCAGGCAGAGAATTATGGGATATGTAGTTTGTGAGGGAATGACAATAGTCTTTTGTGGAGTGGCTCTCAAGTGGTGGATCTCAAGGGCACTCCAGCTGGTGATCGTGACAGAAACACAGATGCTTTTTGATTAACTTCATAGGTTAAAGGAATAGTTCACTTAAAAAATGAAAATTCTGGCATCAAACCTGTATGAATGTCTCTGTTCTGCTGAATACAAAGGAAGATATTTTGAATAATGTCAGTAACCAGTTGATGGACCCCATTGACTTCCATAGTAGATACAAAATACTATGGAAGTCAATGGGGTCCATCAACCGTTTGGTTACCGACATTCTTCAACATATCTTTTTTTGTGTGTTCAGCAGAAGCAAGAAATCCATACAGGTTTGAAACAACTTGAGGGTGAGTAAATGATGACAGAATTTTCATTTTTAAGTGAACTATTCCTTTAACCAACTTCACCAGAAATACCATGCTAGTTGACTAGTTCCATCAAGATTTGCTTGTGAGGAACATGGCAGTGCTGGTCTGGACGATAAACCAGCATGAATCAGCCTAGACCAGCTTGGAAATTAATGGCAGTTTTGTGGAATCATAATTACATGAACTGTCATTTTGATGATGTCAGCTCTGACCTATTTGCTCTAAATGCCTTCTCACTGTCACAATTATAATTGATTAATAGTGTGTCAGAGCAGCTCTCTTTAAGCTGTCTTGTCATTATGGCTTTGCATTTATCTGTTGGATTGATACATAAAAGAATCAATTGATCTCTGTGTCCTCTTTTTTCATCCTGCCCCCCTCATCAGCCATCAACCAAATAAAATACTTTCAATCCATAGATTTTCAAAGAGCCCTTATAAACCCATCACAATCTGGGTGAAAGGTGACACTAGCTTGGCTGACAGGGTCAGAATCATATTATAGATGCTGAGATGTGACTTGCGTAACTTTTCACCTGGAATTTTTCTGTTTGTGTCTTTTTCTTTTTCAAACATGGTCACCAACCCCCTATGTCGAACAGCTGGACAAATGTCTAAATATACAAAAGTTTTGTTTGAGGCCTTATAAGTTCTTAAAAGTAACTCTCAAGCCTTTGTTAATTATTGCAAATGGTTTCTTTTTTTCTTTCCCTTGTCCAGATTTCCCTTTTTAAATGACATTGTATTGTATTGTATTGTATTGTATTGTATTATTATATTATATATGAATCAGTTCAAGGTTTAAGGTCATTATAAATATACTTTATTTTAAGATTTTTTTAATGTTTTTGAAACAAGTCTCTCATGCTCACCAAGGCTGCATTTATTTGATTATTTATTTTGATTAAATTTGATTATTTGCTGCTCAAGAAACATTTCTTATTTTAACATTTCTTTTTTATTTCTGTTTACATCATTATCAATGTGCTGCTTAATATATTCATGGAAACCATGACACATTTTCTTCAAGATTATTTGATTATTAGAAAGTTCAAAAGATTTGAAATAGAAATGTAACATTATAAATGTCTTTACTGTCACTTTTGATCAATTTAATAATACATCCTTGCTGAATAAAAGTACTCATTCAAATTAGCTTAAATTCAAACACAGTCTTGGGACACACACAAAAAAAAATTGCCCACCATAACCTTCTCTAATCTAGTGATATGGTCTCGTGAGGGGATCATTTGAGCAAAACAGAGTGGGCTTATAGAATATTGAGTAGACCACATTCATGAGTCCAGACCCTTAAAGAGGGAGTCAAATCAATTTATTCTGATGTGGCAGAAACACAGCCTGTAATCATGCCTTATCGATGCACTGTTCATGGACAGAAAATGCGAATTAGATGTAAATTGACTCACATGAACCTCACATGGTTTGACTGACTGACTATAGATGTGTCAATGCTATAAATAAAAGGTAATGTGACATATATATAAATGAATGAATGAATGAATGAATGAAATACTAAGAAAAAGGTTATTTTAAGAACCAAAAATTTGGGGAACCAAAAATGGTTCTTCTATGATATCACTTTTTTAAATAGAGTAACTGGTATTTTTTGTTGTTGTTGGTATTTTGGTGATATAACATAATGCTGTATAACTGGGGTAATTTGGGATACATAGATCAATATCTGGGATATTTTTGGGATATTTTGGCATTCTATAATACTAAATAACTGGGGTATTTTGGGATACAAATATTGTGATATTACAGATATTTTGGTGGGGGAAATAATACACTATAATATACACTCACCGGCCACTTTATTAGGTACCCCATGCTAGTAACGGGTTGGACCCCCTTTTGCCTTCAGAACTGCCTCAATTCTTCGTGGCATAGATTCAACAAGGTGCTGGAAGCATTCCTCAGGGAGTTTGGTCCATATTGACATGATGGCATCACACAGTTGCCGCAGATTTGTCGGCTGCACATCCATGATGCGAATCTCCCGTTCCACCACATCCCAAAGATGCTCTATTGGGTTGAGATCTGGTGACTGTGGAGGCCATTTTAGTACAGTGAACTCATTGTCATGTTCAAGAAACCAATTTGAAATGATTAGAGCTTTGTGACATGGTGGAAGTAGCCATCAGAGGATGGGTACATGGTGGCCATAAAGGGATGGACATGGTCAGAAACAATGCTCAGGTAGGCCGTGGCATTTAAACGATGCCCAATTGGCACTAAGGGGCCTAAAGTGTGCCAGGAAAACATCCCCCACACCATTACACCACCACCACCAGCCTGCACAGTGGTAACAAGGCATGATGGTTCCATGTTCTCATTCTGTTTACGCCAAATTCTGACTCTAACATCTGAATGTCTCAACAGAAATCGAGACTCATCAGACCAGGCAACATTTTTCCAGTCTTCAACTGTTCAATTTTGGTGAGCTCTTGCAAATTGTAGCCTCTTTTTCCTATTTGTAGTGGAGATGAGTGGTACCCGGTGGAGTCTTCTGCTGTTGTAGCCCATCCGCCTCAAGGTTGTGCGTGTTGTGGCTTCACAAATGCTTTGCTGCATACCTCGGTTGTAACGAGTGGTTATTTCAGTCACTGTTGCCCTTCTATCAGCTTGAACCAGTCTGGCCATTCTCCTCTGACCTCTGGCATCAACAAGGCATTTCCGCCCACAGAACTGCCGCTCACTGGATGTTTTTTCTTTTTCGGACCATTCTCTGTAAACCCTAGAGATGGTTGTGCGTGAAAATCCCAGTAGATTAGCAGTTTCTGAAATACTCAGACCAGCCCTTCTGGCACCAACAATCATGCCACGTTCAAAGTCACTCAAATCACCTTTCTTCCCCATACTGATGCTCGGTTTGAACTGCAGGAGATTGTCTTGACCATGTCTACATGCCTAAATGCACTGAGTTGCCGCCATGTGATTGGCTGCTTAGAAATTAAGTGTTAACGAGCAGTTGGACAGGTGTACCTAATAAAGTGGCCGGTGAGTGTATATAGATGGTATATTTTGGGGATATATGGTACTTTATAACTAGGATATTTGGGGAAATTAATATTCTGTTACTGGGATATTTTAACATTTATATGACAAACACATAAAATTAAAACAAAAGGAATGATGTTATACATTTTATCAGTTCACAGAGGAAACTCCTCAAGAAACACAGTGGAGATCAATGTGATTTAAGAAGAATTTTAACATATCAAACTAGACCAAACATATTCCCCCGGTTTCATTCCATTTCCCCTAAAACCAATGGGATCGTTTTGTTTTCTCATAGAACTGGCCAAGAATGGTCAGAGTTTCCATACAAGCTGTGATGTTGTTTAGAGGCCCCAAAGCAAAAGGGGGTCTTGGGGGATCTCTATGAAATCAGTGAACTCAAGTAAAAGGAATGAGAGA